GTGCCCTGTGATAAACTGGCGTCCCACCCAGGGTGTATCCTGCCTTCCGCCCATTGGTGACTAGGTGAGCAGACTCAGGTGTCCCCACAAACCTGAATTGGAAGGAGTGGCTTTTGGGTTCTGAAGAGGATGACATAGCTCACGGCTCATTGCTTGACCTGTCATAGTGATACTGCGAAGGACTTTAAATGACCGTGATCTGGTCATAGAGTGTGGGTGGTTCAGGTGGGTAGCTGCGTCAGCATGCGTAGTCTGCAAAGGAACAAGGAAACGTTGTGTTTTCTCTCTTCTCTTTTCTGCACAGAGTATGGGTGTTGAAAACTGGGCCTTGTTGCCAGTGGTTTATTGTGTCCTCCTTACAACATCAGAGATAATGGCCATCTGAGAGTCTGCAAGAACGTTCCACTTAACTTCCAGACCAAAACCTAAGCCTGACGCCCTGGTATATTATCCCCAGTGTATAGGATAATGACTTTTCATTGTACCTGTTTTAATCATCTACTGTATATGACTGTATTGTTTTCTGTCCCTTAAACAGCCTTGAAAACAATATGTTTTTGGTTTTAATTTTAAGTAAATCCTGTAATTCATTATTCAATCGTGGTGGATTCATTGTAGATCTTTAGTTTTCATTTTGTTGAAAAATGTTTTCTAGCTTCCGGAAGAGGAAACCTGATACCAGTGCCACTGCCTTTTATAGTTGCAGATATCACATGTGGTTCTCTAAGTTGTGAATATTTCTTAGCACTTGATGTGTGTTATTTCTCTAGCTGCTTGTAAACATGAAGTGTTATAGTGTTTTGCTTTATCTCTCGCAGAGATTTTGTGAGTGAGAAGTTACATTTCTCTTTTTCTGTTATGTGGTCCTGGATCTTTATTGTTTTCTTGAAATTTACTGATACTTGTTGTACATTTTCTGTTTATAGTTACCTTTCTTTAGTCCTTATTCCTGGTATTTGCCAAGTAAAATGACTGTATTTTGAGAGGAAGAATAATGGTCTTCACAACAGTATCATTAACAAAAGCTATCTGTGAAATTTAAGTCAAGAAATTCAGTAAACGTTCTGTAGTTTAAATAAAACATCCCTCTATAGTTGTGTTACAGCACTGCCTGACTCCTGCAAGAGCCAGTTTTTACACAGAGGGTTGTGGGAGTGTGGGACACACATCCCCTCTATATTGTGAAAGCGGATACCCTGTCTGTTTTCAAGGAGCAGCTGGACAAACTGGACAGTTTGCTACATTTCTTATATTCTTAAATAAAGCAGACAAAAGAATAGGCCTTAGTAATAGTTCAGCCTTTTGCATCATGGATGCTACTATACTAATAGCTGTGCAGAAAGCTGGTATTTCCACCCATTTATTTTCTAACTGCTTCTTCTAATTCCGGGTTGCAGGCAAGCAGTGGGCGCAAGGCAGGATACGCCCTGGACAGGATACCAGTCCGTTGCAGGACACACACACACACAGACACACAGACACACAGACACACACACACACACACACACA